TGATGTTAATGTGTCTGCATTCAAGCATTTCAGTGGGCTTAAACAGATCACCCTTTACAGCAGATTTAGTTCACAGACAACTGACAGCTTTGACCTAAATATGATTTTCAGTTACAATAATTCATCCTAAAACTCGACATTAGTAGCTTACTTTTAACAGCATCAGACGCGCGAGCGCTCACAAGATCTCCCGGTTCTTACTTGTGAATTCAGTTCACTGGAGACTCGCACTAAACGGTTCATTTGAATCAGTGAGTTGTCGACTCGAGAACAGCTGCAATCGGTTCATTCTAATTCGTCAATGAATCGTTTGGTGCGATTTGCGAACCGATTTAAAAGGTTAATTGAAAAGAATCAGTTCGTTCTTGAATCAGACACCGCTTCTGCGTCTCGGAGCACGTGATATATTATAAGGAGTAACGATATGTTTTATGAAATGTAGTGAAGTAAAAAGTACGATCTTATGCTTTGGAATTTAGTGAAGTAAAAGTAAAAGTTACTCAAAATAAAACGACTCCAGTAAAGTACAGATACTTGAAAAATGTATTTAAGTACAGTAACGAAGTAAAACTACTCCGTTACTGTCCACCACTGTAAAACGCCATAAATAAATCTTTAAAAAAAAAACAAAAAAAAAACAACATAAACAAGGTCCAAAGTTCAGAGAAAAATGATGTGGATCTTTTCTGGAGGTAAAACATGTCAAAAGTCCAATGTCAATAACTATATCATTCTCTTATTCGATACCTGTGTGAACTTAAGGGTCACTGTAAATGAGCACTGGAGCTCTTTTCACATTTGCCCAGTTGATTTTGGGGAAATAAATTTCAAGAATTTTGAAAAACTGATTTAAATATGGTAAAATGTGTTAAAGGGGTCCTATTATGCTCTTTGACAAAGTCTTGATTTTTCACATATTTTACATTATTACACACCTCTCTCCTCAGTTTGGCATGAACAGCTCGAATAGTTCCTGTATCAAATGAAGGCCTGCCTTCTGAAATACGAAATGTGCTGTGATTGGTTAGCTGGGCCAGTGTGTGTTGTGATTGGCACCACTGGCCAGTGTGTGTTGTGATTGGTTAGCTGGGCCAGTGTGTGTTGTGATTGGTTAGCTGGGCCAGTGTGTGTTGTGATTGGTTAGCTGGGCCAGTGTGTGTTGTGATTGGTTAGCTGGGCCAGTGTGTGTTGTGATTGGTTAGCTGGGCCAGTGTGTGTTGTGATTGGTTAGCTGGGCCAGTGTGTGTTGTGATTGGTTAGCTGGGCCAGTGTGTGTTGTGATTGGTTAGCTGGGCCAGTGTGTGTTGTGATTGGTTAGCTGGGCCAGTGTGTGTTGTGATTGGTTAGCTGGGCCA